AGTCAATGTTTTAACCATTTTAACATGGTTACCTTTTGAAAAGTACACGTTAACAAAAATATTCCCTACAGTGTATACTGCAAGAGGTTAGGGGTCATAGATAAAATTGATAAAGATCATTCAAAAATTTTCATTTTATTTTAAGTTACTTTCTCACTACAAAAAGAAAAAAAAAAGCTACCAATTCGTCCAAACCATCTAAATCCACAGTTGTAAAAGAACATTTGTATTAAAACAAAATGATATAAATAAGCACACAATATTTATAAATATTGATTTTATTTGCAAATCCTCTATTCTCTGCATGTTCTTCTGAAGTAAATAATGGTAGTATTTCATACTTAAGTACGTTTCTTCTCTCGTAANATGTAGTTCACAGTATTTTATTTTATCTTATTATTATTATTATTATTATTATTATTATTATTATTATTATTATTATCTTGTTATTATTCATTTAATTCAACTTTCAGATTTACAATAATAAAAATGAATGAAATATTTGCATACTACACAAATTAATTGTTTTCATTCAGAATTTAGCTAGTTCAATTTCTATTGAAACACTACTTTCCATAAAAGTCTTCTTCTTTCTGCAATGAATAAATTATTTGACAAATTGTTTTTCCGCAAAGTGATCGAAATAGCTTCTGATATCTGATACCATTGAGCTTCGATAATAAATCGATAGGTCGAGAATCTCCCACGAGTATGCACCGAGGAATCAAAAAGAGCTTGGAATCCTAAGAATGAACTTGAATCCAACTAGTTTCCGCAGACTGAATCTCGATGAAGTTTTCACGCGGATTCTGATGACAGTGAGGCGTTTCGGGCATTTATACGGAGCGAACCACGTTCCACATTTCGAGAATGGAGAAATGTGATTTCCTTAACTGCCTAGGGAACGACAATGCATCGAAAGATTGATGTTGCCTTCTGCCGACGGAACTGTCTCCAAGAGAACGTGAATCAGTGCCAATATCATCACGGTGACCAAGTTGATGACTACATCGGACGTGCCGCGAGAAGTATATTATCGACTCGTTTATCAGATTTGATCGACAAGAACTTATTCAAGTAAATTACTCGAATGGCGATTATAAACCAGTGAAGACTCGTTTCTCAAATTAATGCTAATTGTAAGATAAATGTCTCTATTCGTTCCTATTGCAGATCATTTGTTGCGAATGGTCGCATTTTTTAGTACGAAATAGGAAAATTAGTAGTATCTTCTAATTACTGCAAACGTTTTCAAGAAATTTTAGAGTAGAAGTTTTTAAAATATGAAATAACCGACTTTCATTTCGATATGTGAACAGTGTTTATGTTACAATGGTAACAGATATAAAAGCTGCAGTAAGGAGCTAATACATTTACAGTTGCAATAAGTTAAAGCTCATTATAACTAAAACTGAACAGTCCTTCCGTAACAATCCTATTATCTTTCAACGCGAAAGCTGTTTGTTATTACGTCTCTAACGTTTTGACTATCGGAAAAGTTACTTGCGTTTGCTGCAAACGGAACTGCTTATGAAAGAGATGATGCTTATAGACATTATGAACATAATTATACTTCCGATTTTTATTACAAAAAATAATAGTTGAACAAGTCAATGTTTTAACCATTTTAACATGGTTACCTTTTGAAAAGTACACGTTAACAAAAATATTCCCTACAGTGTATACTGCAAGAGGTTAGGGGTCATAGATAAAATTGATAAAGATCATTCAAAAATTTTCATTTTATTTTAAGTTACTTTCTCACTACAAAAAGAAAAAAAAAAGCTACCAATTCGTCCAAACCATCTAAATCCACAGTTGTAAAAGAACATTTGTATTAAAACAAAATGATATAAATAAGCACACAATATTTATAAATATTGATTTTATTTGCAAATCCTCTATTCTCTGCATGTTCTTCTGAAGTAAATAATGGTAGTATTTCATACTTAAGTACGTTTCTTCTCTCGTAAAAGTGAATAAAATTTTTCTGATTAGTTTCAGAATGACATACTTCACTGTGCATCATTAAGAAACTGTACCAAATCGACCAAGAATACGAAAACACTTGCAACCCAGACTTGGTGCAGACCTGCTCAATGCCCTCCCGACTTCAAGCTTTTTATCCGGCGGCCAACAGGTAATCTCTCCTTTCACTCAACCCTCTCGTTAAACACTCTCTTCCCTCCGTCAACAGGAAGATTCCAATTGCGGCCAAGTTTCCCCAGCGGTGGTTCACCATGTTGAAATTCGACCAATTACGTCGACGGAAAGTTTCCGCTGCTAGGTGGTAAGGTGGCCAGAGGCGAACCGCTGCTCCCGTGTGTTCACAACCCGCGTGCTGCCCGGTTTGTTTCTACATGCACGCGTGATTTTATATGTGTGTGCGCGCTCGCACAAGTGTGTATTTGCAACCGTGGCGCCGATGGACGAGCTTCGGATGCACGTCCGCCGGTGGCCACGAAAATGCGAATGGAATATCAAAGAGGTAGCCTGATGAAGTCACCCGGTAACAGGTGAAGATTCGATCCTAGGTAGCTACTTTACGGTGTCTCTCGTTGCGTCGCCTCGCGGCTGTCTTCTTCCACTGGGTTCCGAGTGTGGTCACGTACTGGCAACGAGAGCAGCTCAATTTTTCAGCGTCCTGTTTCTAGGGAATTACGTCTTCCGCCGACCATTCGTTCATAGTGCAACTTACTTAAGTGGTTAGCGCTGCTCGGTTTCGGGGACGAAGCCTTATGATGTTAGAATACTTTGCTTGGACTTCGAATCTCCTCTGAATTTTCTACGTCTCTCTCCGTGTTAAAAAACTTACAATTTGGCGAAGGTTATTTAGAGACAGACCAAGATTTATTTACGGTGAAAGCTTTATCGGGGCATAATCAGTGTTAACCCCACAAGGGGTTAACTTTAAAATTAATACACTAAAATTATTATATTAAAAGAGAAAGTTCGATGAGAAAAAATTAACAACGAGGCGGCACAATGTCCTTCAATTTTTTACGACAAGAAATCTTTTTTGTCTCCTCGGATGACCAAAGCTCAGCAATTGTTATGTCAGCGATTTTTCATGTACAATATAACTTCGTTTAACGGAATCAACGATTTCGGAATTTATTATTTTTTGAATACGTTCGCTACATATAAAAAATAATAATTTTGTCAGTTGGACAGTTGTGACTGAAAATTTTAGGTGACCAGCCTGTATATTAGAAATATTATTAGGAAAATAACTAACAGTTAATTGTCTCTGAGCGTCACTTCTCCTTAAAGTAAGTTCTTTCATGACGTACTTGAATCTTTTAATAACGAAGAAGCTGAAATGTGGTCCGTAAGGTTTTACACCCTCGAGTTTTCTATTCACTAAGTCGAAGATGTCACTATGATTGAAATCGGTCGATCGTAGCATTCGAGTCTCGATCCCGTGAAAGAACAATTATGAATTAATAATAGACAATTGAAATAACGAATTAAAAACTATGTTAATTTGTCGAAAAGAGGATGTAGAAAAAAACGGTTGCCACGAGAACGACACGCAAAAAATAAGAAGCGAGAAGCGACAAATTAACTCGTAGGACGCCTAATTAACCAGGCTGTTGGATTTAATTTATCAGCGGCAAAGTGTCGTGCATTAACGTACTTTCTGGGAGAAGAGATTTGTATCGAGCGTGCGACCAAAAAAGAAGATACGCAAGCGTTAATTAGTCGCAGAAGTAATTAAAACTCGGTTAATTTCGACCGCCGTGTCAAAGATTAACTTCGCATCACTCGATAAAATTCCTCTTGAGGAAGGGACACTTTTTGCACCGAATCCCATCTTGAAAGCGAAGCGATCGCAAAAAGGTGTGCAGCCACCGCGAGATAAATTTAATTACATATTTAAATATCTTTACCCGTGGAAATGCTCGAATGAATCGTACGAAGTTCATCCCAATTTCACAATTAACGGTTCGGAACGGGCATCTGCGCGAGTTATAAATAATTTTCGTTTCCCCCCTCAGGCGTATCCGGGATTTTCAAATTCGCCAAATTATCGTAAAGTAGCTGGATGTTCTCATTTTTGAGCTAATATTTTCTCCAGTTCTGATATACATAAAATGAGAAACGCATTTGCGTGATTGATATCAACATACATAAAATAATTGGTAAAAACTGAGAATTCGCATGGCTTTCCACAACAGTATTGTACGAAAGTAAAAAATTTATTCAGAATTTCTCCAGCATTCCAAAATGTGGGTTTGAGTTTCAAGCAGTAATGTGCGCTATTTAATTGAATTTGATGGCAGATTCGTTTGTTGCCAGCGTTTTGATATATCGCAAATATCTACGCAGAAGATTGAAGAAAAATATTGTTGTACGTTCTCGATATGTTTTTGCAAGTGTGGTCTCGTGATTTCGAGTTGAACCATCAGTTCAGAAGTACTTGCAAATGATAGTTATATTAAACTGGTATGACAGAATCAATTAAATTAGGGAAGATTGATCTCGCATCTATATAATATATTCACCTCAATTTCTTAGATTCTCTGAAATATTGTTGATAGCGCTGTTTTATTATAGCAATCATAATCGAAACTTTAAAATTTGAAAATTTATTTTATTTTTGTATTTATCAAATTTCAAAATTGAAAACATTTTCGAAAAGGGTAATCTGTTTTGCAAACTCCATTATTGCTCATCTGGAACCTGAAAAAATTCCTATGTACTAACCATACCTTGAAAATATTTGCATATTTAAAAAATCATACTACGTCTATCTTAAGATAACGTATAAATAATATTGCAATGACTATGCCGTGCATATTATGCAAATATAGATTTCCTATTCTCTTATATGAGAAAAAAATACTCCAATTTATTTCCTGTGTTAGGAATTTCGAAAAATTACGCTATAAATGCGCAAATCACAACGCAGTCATGAATCTAATAGAAAAATTAGAGAACATTCCAGAATTGAACTGTTACAGAGATCTGGTCGAAATATTTGCTTTTGTACTCACCAATTCTGATAACCGGTGGCAGCGACATGGCAGTGGTAACCAAGACGACAATGATGGCGAACAACAGTGCCATTGTGTTCGACGTGACTTCAGCTCGCACCTGACTATGACATCATTCTTGCGTACTCCGTCGCAAGACAAAATACAATGCTTCCGAACAACAGATATATATATATACACACGAAACTAGATCGTTTTCACATACACTTCAACATAGAACCGCACATTTTCGGGCCGTGACACGCATCGATGAGAATCCCCATTAAAAAACCGTCATTGCTTGCACCTGAAACAAAAAATTATCAAAATATTAGAGGTGCACGAGATCGAAGTTATTCAGATGAAAGAGCCATTTTAATGAAATGTGTTATCTCAAAAATTTATTCCTTCTCTGTTAACCTATTCTATAATTTTAATTTCGTATTAAAGTTGGTAGATTTTGTCGAACAAGCGACAAGGGATGTGACTTTTTAATTCAGAACAGTGAAAATGCATTTGCCGTTTGATGTTATTGCCGTAGACGATTTCTCGATAATAGGCTATACATCGCGTATGCACTTCTTATTTTAATTTATTAAAAAAAAATTTGATTACATTTGGTAGTGAAAAAAATTACACCTTCACAACCCTCGTTTAATCATTAATTTCATCCCTTCGAATGTGATACTAAGCGTTACGTAACATTTTAAGCGTCTGGTTGGCGAGACTAACATCGATAAGCATGGTTGAAAATAACGTTTGTCTCTCAACTTCAAATGCTTTAACCAAAAATGAACAATTACATTACGACAAGCCTTCCCAAAAGGCTTCTTGAAAAAGATTTGAATGCAGACAGCAAGAAAAGAAACTCGACCATCCACACTGAAAATATGAAAGAGAAGAAAATCATAGCAGGGTATGAAGGGGAACAAAAGAAACAAGATAACAGAAAAACACCAAATTTAAATTTGAAATGAAGAGATTATAAAAGCAAGAATGGAGAATGGAGAATGTCATAATGAAGAAGACAGAGGGTATTATTGCCTTCACTGCGTTGATTCGTGTAGATCGAGGAAGCTAAATGAAAAATGGATGCGATGCAAAGCATAATTATTACAATTTTCAATACACTGTATGCGATAATAGTATATAAAGAAATACATCTTTTTAATGTCGTCTTGTAAAATTTGCATAGACAATATGTAAAATTCTAATTCTACGAACAGCCACGTCGTTTCAAACAGAATTTGTTATTCTCTATATGAAGATTTGTAAAAAATAATATTGTGTATAATTATTTTGCACTTTCTGTTATTTAAAGATGTACTGGTATAATTACAATTTCGGACGTATTACACTCCGGCTAATGAATTTTTACTTTGTCTGCCTGCAACTGTGTAATTAATAAAGTAGAGTATGCTAAAGCAAATTGATGGTGCAATGAAAACTTCTCATTAACGACATTAAAATGCTGTAACAAAAGGGAGATATATTTCAATATTCATAGAATTCATCCGTTTGATCCATTAATCCTTTCTACAAAAAAAAAACTTTTCCAGAAGTTCCAGAAGATCTAGAAAAAATCCAGAAGTTCCAGAAGTTCCATAAGTTCCATAAGTTTCAGAAAATGTCCAGAAGTTCCAGAAGTTCCGGAAAAGTTCCAGGAGAGTTCCAGAAAGATTCCAGAAAGGTTCCAGAAAAGTTCCGGAAAAGTTCCGGAGAAGTTCCGGAAAAGTTCCAGAAAGGTTCTAGAAAGGTTCCAGAAAAGTTCCAGAAAAGTTCTAGAAGTTCGTTTCAATTACCTCCTGAAGTTTATATTAAAATAAGACAAAGTACATTTCAGTTAATAGTTCCCATTACTAATTGTTGTGTATTACAGAACTTTGAATTACTCGCGTATCTTTTGTCGAATCAATGCTGATAATAATCTTCTACTTGCACATGTTTATTTACGATATTCTATCGTTGTTATTTACAATTGATGGCTGATACGGATATTTTTTTAAAAGTTTATGTCGTTCAATGTTCTTCATTGACTCCTAAAAATTCCTAGACGCAAGCTTGATTTCGGATTAGGATAATAAGTAATACTAGACCCAGCTTCGTCGTTGGATACCATAGACGCACCTCTCTTTTTTGTCCAAGAATAAGTACACAATATCTACTGAATTCTAACCTGAATGGCCTGTTCCTAATCGTTATTATTAGGCTGCAGATCTCCATTTAAAATAAAAATATTCTGTTGCAGCAAACTCATTTGATATTAAAATTGATTCCCTTCTTAATCATTTTACTATATTGGAAATAACACAATAATAGTTTTAAATTCTCTCAATATTTTCACTATTTTTTGTTTCACTTACTTTTAGTGTAAATGCATAAAATCTGCAGTCTAGCTATTACAGTCTTGCGATTCGAAAACAAGATAGTTTCCCCATTTTCGCGTTATTGAAAGGCTCGCGTTAGGTTCCATGAAAGGCGAAAACACACTGCCTGGCGGCCGACATTCTCATTAAACGTTGATCGTTGAAAAATGTCGGCGCATCTCTCTCGTCGAGTCAATGGCAGCCCACTCGCGGCCAGATACACACGATCCGCCATTTCGTTGACTAAATACACACAGTGTCCGCGTAGTCGTATGAAATGGATATCACCGCGTATCGACCATAATTTCGCGGACATCGTCAGCTGAATTTACGTCCATCTTCCGTGTATGTACAAGTTCTGGGTGATACCTAATGGACGCTATCAGTTTAATGGAAACCCTTTAAGTACGCGAGCTGGCGCGCACAATTCTTGGTACCGTCCGCGTTCCGATTATTCTCTGTGGAAAACCACTATCGGAAATGTAACGAGAAATTTAAGATGATCGCTCTAAACGGACTTGCGGCCATTGTTAACGTTAATTAAATAATTCGCCGCCGACGAAGCAACTAGGTTGCAGGCTAATGGGACTATGACTTTTTCGTTACTGAAGTGAATTCCCCATAGTTTGCTTTCAGTTAACATCTTCTAAAAGTGTCTACGGTTCTCTGAAATGTGATTAAGCATGCAAGTTTTCATACGCTCCATAGTAACCAGCTGAACGAGCTCAAAGGTTGACGCGACACAGCTGTGTCCAAACTATGTTAAAGACATGCTCTGCCTATGGATTGCTTCGGAAATGAATCGCAATTAACTCTGAGTTTAATGAACGGGATTCAACGTGTAGTGAAAATATGGAGCGGTTTTTTCTAATCTGGCAGTCAACGTGTCACAGAAATCGTTCTTTCTAACTTTTGTAACGAAAAATAATGCTTTCGTTCTCCTGATAATGTGGCTCTGCAGCTTCTCTCATATTTGCATTATGTGCAACGTTTAATCAAAAAGTTCGTGCAATTTATGTTTGTCTGGAAAAGTATGTCTTCATTCATCTATATTTATACTGTTTGCATGGAGCAATTCCTATTACGCATTTATGCAGGCGATTCTTTACTTAACAAAAATGCTTACGAAAACAGTAATCCGTGGAAACTTGAATTCACTGTTTGCGTCCGCATTCAATATAATCCATTACGAAAGAATGTAAACATCAACTTCTGTTTACATTCCCAAATTTTTGTATTTTTCTTTGAAAATTCTAATATAATGAAGTTTATAATGAAGCTTAAACAAGATCAGAAGCTAAAAATAAGCATGAACAGTTGATCTCTTTGCTAGAACACTTTAAAATCCTTTCTGCTTTAAGGTTGAGTTTTATGGACTTCCTGCCTGCACACTACCCTGCCTATATGTCTGTCTCAAGGTTAGAAGGAAGAAAGAATCGTTTAAGATGGGGATGGAAACCCAAGCGCACCCTAGGTTGCTCCTGAGGCGCCACAGGAATGTCGTTTCTTTATTTTCAGAGAATTGCCGACAGTTCATACCCTCATCGCTTTATCTCACTGTTTCGGCCGACCCAGTAGTGCTTGGTAACGGGGAATTGTTCTTTTAATCCCTCGGGCGTAGTTGGCGCTCGGTGGTAAATACTTGTGCGATCCTGAGCTGATCGATAGTGTTAACCGGATCGTCCTTCGATTCGTGCGAATTGTTGCGAAGTGTTCTCTCATTTTCCTTGAAAGATATTCCACCTTCAGAACGGGTTCCAGATGTTTATTCGAATTTATATTCTCTATGACAGATTCAGAAGTTTTCATATTTATGATGATTATGGACTAGACATTTTCAAGAAAGATAAGAATTTCATGAACCGCGAAATGTAGAAACTAATTAGAAATTTTTTGTTCATTAATTCTAAACAGAAAAATCAGTAAAACCACCATCAGTAAAAATCATCGGTTGCATATTTCATATTTTAAAATCGCTGAAGTTGTAAAGACTTTCATAAAATATAATTCAATTCTTTTAATTCAAGCATACACACATTGTAATGAAGTTACTTTTTGTATTTGGTAGCAACGAGAATAGAGGCTGTACTTTATAAATTTACAAAACTTTATTGAATTAGATATGAACAAAACAACATAATTATATCAAATACAACAATGTAAAGAATGCTGAGTAATCGTCAGGATAACTATAAATCGAATATTGCATAGAGAGTGTCATCTGATTAATATGAAGAATACATAACGATATTTATATCGGTCTAACAAGATGTTAATAATTTTAATGTGTTAAAAATAATATGCCGATATTCTTGAAACCTTTTAATCCAAGGGTTTCAAAGCAAACAACTATATTATCGAGTAAAGTTGATTTATTTTATAAATTGAATGTATTCTATTCTCGTATGAAAATTCGCAAAATATGGGTAAATTCGATGCATTGTCGGATGCTGCGAAAATTAAGTAGAGGAACTCGTGGACTGCAGGAGGAACGCGCAACGGGAAACTAGTTTGCAAGTGGAGGTGGATCGCCAGTGATCAGACATACTTTGCTCCAACCATTCCCAAACGCCACTCTCATAACTTCCCATGCGCAAGCAACAAAATATTCGCGAGCACTAACATATTCTAAAACAATTACGCACTGGTGAACATACCAACCCTTGTTGATTTAATTAAATACGAAAAATGAACTCACTATATAAACTAAATTCTTATTTGAAAAAATTTTCTGGTCAAAGAGCCCTGTGGGAAGTTATTAGTTATAGTATTAGATTTTCTTCCGGACTTCAACTTTTTAAATATCATTACAGTGTCTCATGTATCAAAGGCATTCCGCTATTATTATTAAACATTATCCAAACATGTTTGCGAATGTCTAGAATATTACAATTAATTTAATTCTATTTCATAAAATCTGCAGAACCATTTTACGTATAAT